CAGGGATGCTTCTGGAGTCTTTGGCATCCCCTATAGATGAATCACAGTGCAGGACCTTAGGAATTTAAAGCAAAGCCCTACCATGCTCTGCAGATAACTACTCTTCTTTTTTTAAAGATTTATTTTACTTATGCATACAAGAGCTGGGGTGGAGGCCAGAGGTGCAGGGGGTGAGAGGACTCACCAGAAACAGTGGGGAGCAGAACAGGCAGATTGACTGAAATACACTGCTGAAGGGAGCAGTGGGAGAGACAGGAGGGGGTCTGCTGTGCCATGTGGGTCAGCTCCCTGGCTGGGCTGGGGATGGAACTTGTGCTGCCAGTGGCTGGCAGTAGTTTGATAGCGCTGTATTCAACCCTTGCACCATCAGGGAGGCCCTAACTACTTGTCTTTTGAAGAGGGCTCTTCTTTTGGTCTGCTACTGGGCCTTCTTCGAGAATGAACACGTAACCATGGGCCACACAGTTACCATCTGACCTGAGCGGCTCATCATGAATTGGGTGCTGACTCGTCAAACCATCAAGTTGGATTGCACTGCAGCACTCCATCAAATAGAAGTGGCCTGAACAGGCCCCTGAGGTACCAGTAGTCCTACTGGGCAGAACTCTGAGTGGTGTACCTGGTTGTTACTTTTACTTGGAAGAAGTGACCAGATATGCATTAATATACCAATTCATGTGCTGAGGCTAATAGATTGACTGGACAGTCATGGACTTGAACCTCTGAATGAGCAAAAGGGAAGACAGTTGTGCCCCACGTGAATGCCCACCAGAGAATTTTAATAAAATGGGTAGGAGGACCTGTTCAGTGGACAGCTGCTTTCCTCAGTCACCTCTGTCATTGCTCACTGGGCCTATGAACAAAGTGGCTATATTGGCAGGGGCGGAGATGTCCTTTTTTTTTTTTTTTTTTTTTAAAGATTTATTTATTTATTTATACAAGCACTGGGTACAGTCAGAAGCGCGGGAGGGTGAGAGAATTCACCAGAGCCAGAGCGGGGAGCAGAGCAGGCAGAAGGACCGAAGCACACTGCTGAGGAGAGCAGCGGGCGGCAGGAGAGGTCTGCGCGCCATGTGGGACCCTCCTCCGGTGGCCGGGGAGCAGCCGGGGATCGAACCGGCGCTGCAGAGGCTGCGGGCAGCTTCGCAACCCAGCGCTCAACCGCTGCGCCACCGGGGAGGCCCGGAGATGTCCTTTTAAAACATTAAAAAAAAAAAAAAAGAACAATTTCTCTCATTGTTTGTAATCTGCAATATTTTCCTTCTATGAATCTCTAGGGAGACTTTGAAGAACTAATTTGTCACTTACATCTTCTTAATAGTGAGGCTTCATTTTCTTGACACCTAAGGTGACCTGATTTTCCTCTTCCTCTGCCCTGATTGACATCACCACAGCAGAGCTGAGTCCCATTTCTTTTCCTGTACACTAAACCTTGAACAGCATGGCTTGAGCTGCATAGATCCACCTACATGTGGATGTTTTCTGTTTTGTTTTGTTTTTTTTTAAGATTTATTTATGCATACAAGAACTGGGTACAAGCCAGAGGGGCAAGGCATGAGAGGATTCACTACAGACAGAGTGGGGAGCAGAACAGGCGATCTACTAAAATACACTGGTGAGGGGAGCAGCGGGTGAGACAGGAGAGGGCTGCTGCACCATGTGGTAGCTCCCTGGCCAGCAGGGGATTGAACTCATGCTGCAGAGGCTGTATATAGCTTCACAGTGCTGTGCATAACCCCTTGCGCCACCAGGGAGGGCAACACATGAATGTTTTCTATCCTAGGGTTCCACATTCCTAGGATCAACCGACCACAGATATTGTTTGTTGATTCTTGGGGTACAGAACTCTCAGACGGCTGAATATAAATTATACTTAGATTTTGACTGTGCAGAGGTGGGTGCCTCTAACCCCCTGCATTGTTCAAGGGGCAACTGTGTATAGGACATTTTATCTCTGAGCCAGATGTGATGTCCTCATGGTAGGAAGGAGACATCCTTAGATGGTGGAGACAGCAGTGAGTAGACAGATTCCAGGAAAGGGAAGCCATTACAAAAAGAAATGTAGCTGATGTGAGGAGTCAGAACTTAGGGATGTTGTTTGAGAATCTTTCTTCTCAGAGGCCAGTGGAGAGAACAGAGGTCCCTTCAGCCTGAGTTCCCAAATATCCATAACCATCATCCACATGTGTCGCTATGTCTATGGCTCCTCCTATAATTTCCTATTTCACAGATAGGGATCAGCTTTATGGAATTTGTGGTTATCAAGCTATTGCCAGCCATTACAGGATAAGTTTGATCCCAGGCCAGAGAACAACCCACCTGGTGCAAAAGACCTCTCCTGACTCTCCCTCTGTTCCCCTCAGCAGTGTATTTCAGTCAATCTGCCTGTTCTGTTCCCTACTCTGTCTCTGGTGAATCCTCTCACCCCTCATACCTCTGCCTTACACCCCAGATCTTGTATGCAAAAAATAAATACATCTTGGGCCTCCCCTGGTGGCGCAGTGGTTGAGCGCTGGGCTGCGAGGCTGCCCGCAGCCTCTGCAGCGCCGGTTCGTTCCCTGACCGCAGGCGAGGGTCCCACACAAACAAAACAAAACAAAACAAAACAAACAAATAAATAAATACATCTTTAGAAATAAATTTTAAAAGTACATACTAAGTGTCCGAAAAAGAGCAGCTTAGGACATGCTCCGTGATGTTTTCCTTTGCTCAGGGCTCCTCTCTCAGAGACTGCATTAAAAGTGGAGGAGGTGGTGAGGGGAGGCAGAGAATCTTGAGGCACCTGACCTCGGAGCACTGCCTGCCTAAATTGGAAGACAGCTTGTGCAATACACAAGCTCCCATCATCTACACACACTCAGATGGAAGCAGGACAGATGGGAATACTGCTAGCCCTTCTTAGTAGCCAAGGGAAAGACCAAGGTCACAGATCTCCAGGACTGAAGGGATCACAGCAAGTTTCCTGGAGAGAGGCTTTGGGAAGGATGTGGTGCTGAAACATGGAGCTTCACCTCATTCCAAGGGAGATCCCCTGGGGAAGGAGCCCTACTCCCAGACTCTCCTCTTTGTGTCTCCCTAAAAATGTCCCTAAGGGACACTTCCAACCCTAAATCCTTATTCCAAAAATCAGTTTGTGCATTTCTGCTTGCATGCAAACTTTTCTACCACTTAGTATCTTGATTCCCACTTTGGTGACCTCTTCTCCGCAGCCGGGGTCCATCGCTATAAAGAAGGGAAAAAGCCTCAGCATGGAGCCTCAGAGGTACAGTCCTAAGTAAGGACAGAACCTAAAATTGGCCCCTAGGCAGGCGACACCCACTCCCCTGGCTCCTGCTCAGTGTTCAGCACGAGGCCGAGATGGGGCGTGGAGGTGCCCTCACGAGTCAGCTCAGGCCACGCGCGGTGCAGGGCGACTCCGGTGAACAACGGGGTCCTCCAGGCACAGCTGAACCCGAACTCCCAGGCAGATCTTCCACGGGCCCCTCAGTGCCGCCGTGAGGCCCAGAACTGCCAAAATGAGGCTGTGCGCGGCGACACACCGACTCCGGCACAGCCCACAGAGTCAAAGCTGCTTCTCAGGCACCAGGTAACGGCACACAAGACAGGGGGTCTCGCACCCCGAGTGTCACACACCCAGCACGGCGTGGAGCTGGGGTGCTGAAGTACAGTCACGCACCTGTCCTGGCCACGAGCGCTCGCGCGCACGGGCCTGAGTTCTGGGCTCCACACGCCCAGCCCGAGCCCAGAACCGGGGTACCACTCGAGAGCGACGACTTCGAGGATTTCCGAGGGGAAATAAACGAAGCCGACGCCGGGATGGCTCCTCAGGGGCCGCGGGGCGATGGGAAATGTAGTTCAAGGCCGGGAAAGCCCGGATGTCAGGGGCGCGCGAGCCCCGGGGCCGCGGCCGCGAAGACCCTTGGGAAGTGCGCCCCGCGCGCCAGTGCGCAGGCGCAGACGGCTGGCCACTGGCCGGAGGTGAGACTGGCGGGTCCAGGGGCGCCGCGGAGGCGGGCGGCGGCGGGACCCGTGGCGGGAGAGCCGGGGAGGGAGCGGGAACCTGACATGGGGAAAGCGCGGGAGGACCGGGAGCCTGGGCGGGGAGGGCCGGGGAGAAGAGCGGGAGCCCGGATCGCGGAGACGGCGAGGGGGAGGCGAGAGCCCAGGAGAGGCGGGGACCCGGCGCCGGGGCCGCCACTGGCGGAGCGGAGATCGGCCGGGGAGCGCCGGGGGGCGCCGGGAGGGCTCGCGGGCCGGGGCCGCAGGCGCCGAGGAGGGAGCTGCACGCCCTGGGCGGGTATGAGCTCGGCCGAGGCGCGGGTTTGTGGGGTCCGCCCCCACCGCCCGCAGGAGCCCCAGCTCGGGGCGCGCGGCCTGGGACGCGGCGTGTTCAGCTCGTGTGTCTTTCTGTACCGGCCCTCGGGTGTGTCGCCGGCTGACGGGGGGAAACTGTTTCGGAAAGTGATAGGGTCTCCGCGTGCGCCTGAATTTTAAATTTCGTGCGAGTCGTTTCGTTTTGAGACTGTAGCCACTTTGCAGAGGCGGCACTGAGTGGTTATTGAGTCAGATTTTGCTACTTTGTGTGTAAGTATGTTTTGGGTCAGAGATCGTGGATAACGTGTGCCTGTGGGATGGTGATTGTGTGAGGGAAGATGCTGTAACTGCGTTTGTCTGTTCTTTCAAGTGGTTTGTGTGCATGAACCCTGGTGGCACAAAGGGGTTAAGTCTCAGCACTATTGAGCCATCAGCACTCAGTCTCTGGTGAATCCTCTCACTCCTTCCTCCCACACACACCCCTCTGGCCTGCACCCCAGTTCTTGTATGCATAAATAAATAAAAATAAAAAATCAGAACGTTCCTAAGGGACTCAAAAATTAAAGATGAATAAAGAGACAGACTGAACATGATAAAAGGGTCATAACTTCCTAACATTTCATGCAGTTCATTAAGCAACATTTTTGGACTTTGTAAAGTTCTCAGAAATAATGGGGAGGTGAGTAACCCTAGCTGACAATAAAATGTATTTTCAAAATTATAGTAACTACAGTCATCATGGCAATTAAATAGATCAGTGAACTAACAAAGTCCAAATCTACTGAAACATATAAAGGAAATAAAGTATAAGAATAAAAATGGCAGTTTTGGTGAGTAAAGGAAATACAGATTATTGAATACCTGAGGATACTAAATCTGAAGGCCCAGTAACTTATTTAGTATATTTTTGCATAGGGAAAACAGTCAAATGAGAAACTGAAATATTTTAGGTAAATATAGGCTTAATTTCCTTCCTTTAAAAAAGATCTAACGGGGCCTCCCTTGTGGCACAGTGGATTGAGCACAGCGCTGTGAAGCTGTCCACAGCCTCTGGCGCACGGGCCAGGGAGATACCCACATGGCGAGGCAGACCTCTCCCGTCTCATCCCCTGCACCCCTCAGCAGCGGGAGCCTATTCTGCTCCCTGCTTTGTGTCTGGTGAATCCTCTCACCCTCCCACGCCTCTGGGATGGGGCTTGTATGAATAAATAAAATCGTTAAATCAATAAATAAATCAATAAATAAATAAATAAAAGACCTAACATCAATCTAAAAAAGATAACGTAATAGAAAAACAAAAGTATAAGAAACCCTTCACACACAAACTAAAGATTATAAACTTATGAAAGCTTATCTTATCTCGTAATTAAAAATAAGTTATACCTGTAAGATAGGCAAGCACTAAAAGCTTTTTGTGGAGGGTTGAGAGGATTCACCAGAGACAGAGTGGGGAGCAGAACAGGCAGATTGACTGAAATACACTGCTGAGGGGAACAGCGGGCGAGACAGGATAAGTCTGCTGTGCCATGTGGGTCAGCTCCCTGGCCAGGGATGGAACTCATGCTGCAGTGTAGCTGTGATACCACTGAGACTTAACCCCTAGGCATCAGGGAGGCCCTGCAGGAACTTCTTAAGAGTAGGTTGCTTAGGGCCTCCCCTGGTGGCGCAGTGCTTGAGTGCTGGATTGCGAAGCTGCCTGTATCCTCAGTAGCACCAGTTTGATCCCTGGCCACCGGTGAAGGTCCCACATGGCGCGCAGACCTCTCCTGCCGCCCACTGCTCCCCTCAGCAGTGTATTTCGTTAGTCTGCCTGTTCTGTTCCCTGCTCTGTCTCTGGTGAATCCTCTCACCCTCCCATGCCTCTGGCCTGTACCCCATTGCTTGTATAAATAAATAAATAAATGTTTAAAAAAAAAAATAGAGTAGGTTGCTTAGGAGAGAAAAGATGGTGCTGGAGAAGAGAGGAGCCTGCCCAAAACCTCACCTGTTGCCTGAGGAGCCTGTATCTCTGGCTTTAGAGGGTGATTTAATAAGCATCATCTAGCTCATTCTTTTCTCTGAATTTATATAGGCTGTGCAGAGGGAACAAGGGACAAAGCTAGGTAAATGCACACATTTTAATTGTGTTAAGCCCCAAGAGACTGTAAAGCCTGTGCAATCCCGTTACTTCCTCTTAACTTTGCCTTCTAGGAACCACCCTTTTCTAAAGAGGAGCCAGAAGAAAGAGTAGTCATCTTTTGCAAATTTCAAAACCATGGCTCAGGTAAGGTAATGGTTCTGCTGTCCTTTGTGGGGGAAAATTTTTTTTTTCTTAATGGATAGTTGAGCATTTGCCTTTTTGCCTACTTCCTCTTCAGGAAAGCAGCCCCCATCCTGCCCCACAGTCTCCACTGACCCAATAATTTTACCTTCCACAAGTGCTCCTTTTAAATTTAATATCTTCACACATTGTTAGATCTTTCCACATCTTCTGTCTTCTCCCAGTGAAACAAAAATGCATTTCTTCAAATTAAATGAGAATATATAGTATTGTGTGAATGACACGTGTCTTGTATAGATAATAACAGATCAGAGCTTTTAACATGTCCACAGGCCTGATTCAACAGGAGCTAGAATTGAAGGATTGCTATTAGTAACTGGCAAGAAGTTCTGTCTCATGACTTTGAGGTATATTTGGCAGATTGTGCAAAAGAACTACGACTCCTTTATTTTTCCTGTCTGTGTTTTTCTTACAGCTGTTGACAAATTCTGGAACATTGGCCTGCCAGTAACACTCTCCCAGTATTACTAATAATGTTATAAATTTATTTCTGTTTTTATATTTTTTCTAATTTTGTATTCAGATGCAAGAGAAGTAAATGTATGTGCTTAGGCCGCCATACTGAACCAGCAGTAAAATTCTTGAAATATTTTGCTCACTCCTGGTTCTTTCAAATAATTCATCTTTATATCAAGGCCTCTTTTTTTTTTTTTTTTAGAGATCTTTTTCTTTTTTAAAGATTTATTTGTTTATTTATACAAGCACCAGGTACAGTCAGAAGCACGGGAGGGTGAGAGGATTCACCACAGCCAGAGCGGGGAAAAGAACAGGCAGACTGATGAAATACACTGCTGAGAGGAGCAGCAGGCATGGCAGGAGAGGTCTGCACGCCATGTAGGACCCTCGCCGGTGGCCGGGGATCGAACCAGCGCTGCAGAGGCTGCGGGCAGCTTTGCAGCCCAGTGCTCAGCTGCTGCGCCACCTGGGGAGGCCATCCAGGCTTCTTAAATACCGGCTTGCCCAGATACTGTATTGATTCTCTGGTCTTCGCTGTCTCCTGTTCCTGATCATAACCCCGTTATTCCAGCGATGCTCAAATAATTTAATCCTAAACCTTGGTCCTGAGTGTCAAAACTATATCCAGTCTCCAATTAGACAGCACCACTTGCATGTGCCACAGATACTTAAGGCATATTTCTCTCCTGTGCTTTCTGTTCTTTTAGTTTTTCTCCAGTTTCTTTTATCATTATCAGATGTCCCCTTTGTCTATGATAGTAATACTCCTCAGTTTGAAATATGTTTTAATTTTTACTAAAGTCACATTAGCTTTCTTGTGTTTGAGGTTTGCCTCTCTTTTTCCATCCTTTTATGTTTAGCATATTTGTGTCCATGGTATTTAAAATGAGTCCCTTATCGGGCCTCCCCTGGTGGTACAGTGGTTGAGCGCTGGACTGTGAAGCTGCCTGCAGCCTCTGCAGCGCCATTTTGAACCCTGACCGCTGGCAAGGGTCCCACATGGTGCACAGACCTCTCCTGCCGCCCACTGCTCCCCTCAGCAATGTACTTCGTCAGTCTGCCTGTTCTGTTCCCCGCTCTGGCTCTGGTGAATTCTCTCACCCTCCCGTGCTTCTGACTGTACCCAATGCTTGTATGTATGTATGTTTGTATATATGTATGTATGTATGTATAAATAAATAAATAAATGTTAAAAAAAATAAGTCCCTTATCGACAGAATATATTTGAGTCTTATATTTTTTTATGTTATAATAATCTCAACTTTTTTATTGGAGGGTATAGGTGTTTACATTTAATATAAGAAAGTCGTAATTTTGCTCTTTTCTGATTGCCTAACCTGTTTTGTTTTTTTATTCTGTCGAAGTATCTTTTTAAATCTACACTATAGTGTATGATCCTTGAAAATGTCGCCATAATCCTACACACACACCCATTCAAGTTGCTTTTGTTCAGTTTAAGAAAACAATTCAGGGCCTCCCTGGTGGAGCAGAGGGTTAAGCATCCCACTATGAAGCAATCCACAGCCTCTGCAGCACGAGTTCACTCCCCTGCTGGCCAGACAGAAACCCACATGGCACAACAGACCTCTCCTGTCTCATCCACTGTTCCCCTCAGCAGTGTATTTTGGACAGTCTGCCTGTTCTGTTCCACACTCTGTCTCTGGTGGAGCCTCTCACCCCCTACATCTCTGGCCTGTACCCCAGCTCTTGTATGCATAAATAAATGAATCTTTTAAAAAAAAATAAAGTCTTTTTAAAGGGCAGTTTTAGGTTTATAGCAAAATTGAGTAGAAAGCACAGAGTTCCCATCTACCCCCTACCCCACTGTCCAAAATCCTGCATCCAAGTTTTCCATTTGTTACTATCAGTGAACCTCACTGACACTTCCTTGTATCCCATCACTTCCATAATATACATTAAGGTTCACTCTTGGTGTTGCATGTTCTCTGGATGTTGACAAATGTATAATGACTATCCACCATCGTAGACTTATATAAAATAGTTTCACTGCCCTAAAAACTCACTGTGCTTCATCTGCTCACCTCATCCTCTTCCCTTCTCCCCTAATCTCTGGGAATCACTGATCTTGTTTTTTTTTTTTTCTTAAAGTATTTATTTATGGATACAAGAGCTGGGGTACAGGCCAGAGGTGCGGGGGGTGAGAGGATTCACAAGAGACAGAGTGGGGAACAGAACAGGCAGACTGACTGAAATACACTGCTGAAGGGTGCAGCGGGCGCGACAGGAGAGGTCTGCTGTGCCATGTGGGTAGCTCCCTGGCCAGGGATCAAACTCGTGCATCAGTCAAATATATTAGTTATATCTGTTTGCATTATTTTTTTGTTGGTTGCAATAGGGATTACAGAATACAGCTGTAATATATCATGATTTCCTTAGAAACAATAATTACTCAAGGTAAAGTGTATCAGTCTTGTAACATTAGATTTCCATTTATTTGTGCTTATGTTTGTCATTTATGTAATATCTATGATTGCAATAAATGGTATTAGAATGTTTACTTTATACCAAGTGGCTGCAGCTCACCAGCCAAATTCAACCTGACATGCTACCTATTTTTGTACAGACTGAGTTATAAATGGGTTTTTTAATTCATTTGAAAAATGTAATTTCTAACCCAAATTTTATGAAATTCAAGTTTCAGTATCCATAAATGAAGTTTTACTGAAACACAATTTTGCTTATTATTTACATTTTGTCTATGGTTTTTTTTGTGCCAATGCAACAAAATGTCTATTTTAAAGGAAGGGAAAAGAATTCATAGTCTTTTGCATACAGATCTTCTCTCATCCCCTTCATTCCTTCCTAAAGACCTAAGTTACCATCTGATAGCATAACCTCATTTAGTATTTTTTTATTTATTTTTTAAAGATTTATTTATGTATACAAGAACTGGGGTACAGGCCAGATGCGTGAGAGGATTCACCAGAGACAGAGCAGGGAACAGAACAGGCAGGCTGACAAAATACACTGCTGAGGGGAGCAGTGGGCGAGACAGGAGAGGTCTGCTGTGCCATGTGGGATTCTCGCTGGCTGGCCGGGATAGAAGCTGCGCTGCAGAGACTGTGGACAGCTTCACAGTGTGGCGCCCAACCACCTGTGCCATCAGAGAGGCCCTCATTTAATATTTTAGGTGGCACAGATTGCAGTGATAAATTTTCTCAGATTTTATCAGAAAATAACTCCTTTATTTTAATAGATTGTTTTTGCTGAATATAAAATCTTGGTTGATAGCTTTGGTTTTTGGCCATTTGATTAGGATTTTACAAGGTGTGGTGTTCTTAATTTTTTATCCTTTTAGGTTTCATTAAGACTTTTGAATTATTTAAGTTAAAGTTTTACTAAGTTTGCATGTATTGGGCCATTATTTCTTTAGTTTTCAGATTCTTTTTTTTTTTTTTTTTAATTTTATTTTTCTAGTCACATTGCTTAATTTATGTTGCCCTGTTTACAAGGTTACAGAATCTTCCTTTTTCTATTTCTGGTCTGCTGTTGAAACTATACGGTGAATATTTTCTTTGGGTTATCATAATTTTCAGCTATACTGGCTTTTTTTTTTTTTTTTTTTTTGATCCTTTATTTTTGAAATTCCTTGCCAGATCTTCCATTACTGGCATCCCAGTAAGCTAAAACAGTTTAGGGGTTCAAAGTGACATCACAGTTAAGATTTTAAGGATTAGCTATTAAATAAATACACTGTCAAGTACTTCTACTTTGACTTTTGTTTTCTTTATAAAAATGTCAATCATAAAACAAGAGGAATGATAGGGCTTCCTTCACAGGTTTTCATATGAATGTCACTAGATCGGAGCTCTTCCCTCAGTATCTAGTTAACTTGTTTGATTATATTCTTCTTTTTTTTTTTTTTTTTTTTAAAGATTTATTTATTTATTTATACAAGCACTGGGTACAGGCAGAAGCGCGGGAGGGTGAGAGAATTCATCAGAGCCAGAGCGGGGAGCAGAGCAGGCAGAAGGACCGAAGTACACTGCTGAGGGGAGCAGCGGGCAGCAGTAGAGGTCTGCGCGCCATGTGGGACCCTCCTCCAGTGGCCGGGGAGCAGCTGGGGATTGAACCAGCGCTACAGAGGCTGCTGGCAGCTTTGCAACCCAGTGCTCAACTGCTGCGCCACCGGGGAGGCCCTATATTCTTTTTAATTTATTTATGCATACAAGAGCTGGGGTATAGGCCAGAGGTGTGGGGGTGAGAGGACTCACCAGAGATAGAGTGGGGAACAGAACAGGCAGATTGACTGAAATACATTGTTGAGATTGACTGAAACACACTGCTGAGGGGAGCAGCAGGTGAGACAAGAGAGGTCTGCTGTGCCATGTGGGTTTCTCCCTCCGGCTGGGGATTGAACTCGTGCTGCAGAGCCTTGGATTGCTTCATAGTGCTTAACCCCTTGCACCACCAGGGAGGTCCTTGTTTGATTATATTTCGACCCATTACAGGGATCAGTGTCATTCAAAGATGTGACTGTGGATTTCACTCGGGAGGAGTGGCAGCACCTGGATCCAGCTCAGAAGACGCTATACATGGATGTGATGTTGGAAAACTATTACCACCTCATTTCTGTGGGTAAGAAAGACACTCTTTGAAACCTTCAGTAGTATGCCTTTCCTTTTAAAGTGCCTAAAGCATGTGTGATATTTAATTTAGGGCCAAGAGGCAATGACTTCTTTTTTGGGTACAGACATGATCATTGTATCTTGCATCTTGCATGGTATTAAGTTTACTGGTGTACAAAGGAATATCTTCATTTGCAATACTGAAAATGGACCTTACTAATTTTTTGAAGTATGCTGAAGGGACTTCCCTGGTTAAGGGACCTCCCTAGGGGTTAAGTCTCAATGCTGTTACTGCTTGGGATCAGTTAGATCCCAAGTCAGGGAGCTGACCCACATGGCGCAGCAGACCTCTCCTGTCTCCCCCGCTGCTCCCCTCAGTGTATTTCAGTAGACCCTCCTGTTCTGCTCCCCACGCTGTCTTTTGTGAATCCTACCCCAATTTTTCTATGCAAAAATAAATTAAAAAAAAAAATGTGTTGCGGCCCAAGCAACTTAATCCAAATCTTGCATGTCAGGATGTCACATGACCAAGCCTGATGTGATCCTGAAGCTGGAACGAGGAGAAGAGCCATGGACGTCATTCACAAGTCATACCTGCTTAGGTGAGTCTCTGACTCTTAGTTAGATGAAATATAATGGAAAATGAATTGTAAAGTGGCCACATGGTGGGTGGCACCTTGGAAATATATTGAGTGTGTCCTTTTAAAGTCTCTAAACCTGGGCCTCCCGGGCCCTGGGGGCGCAAGGGGTTAAGACTCAACCTAAAAAGCTATCCGCAGCCACTGCAGCATGAGTTCGATCCCCAGCCTGCCAGGGATCTACCCACATGGTGCAGCAGACCTCTCCTGATTCTCCCGATGCTCCCCTCAGCAGTGTATTTCAGTCATTCTGCCTGTCCTGTTTCCCACTCTGTCTCTGGTGAATCCTCTCATCCCCCACATCTCTAGCCTGTACCCTAGTACTATATATATACATAAATAAATCTTAAAATGAATAAAGTCTCCAAACCTTTGAAATAAGCCTGCAAAACTTTAACTTTCGCATACTACTACAAATGATATTCTTTCATAGTTTTGATGTTACCAAAGACAGTCACCACTCCTATCATCATCTAATCATAGTGGCCAATGAACCTTTCTTTAGGTGCTTTTCTTGATTAGTATCTTTTTCTGGCATTCTCCGTCCCTTAATACCTTGCCATTGTGATAGATTTCTTGCAAGTAGTCTTAAATCTTTTTTTTTTAAGATTTATTTATTTTTATACAAGAACTGGGGTACAGGTCAGAGGCACAGGAGGGTGAGAGGCTTCACCAGAGACAGAGCAGGGAGCAGAAGAGGCAGATGGACAGAAAGCACTGCTGAGGGGAGCAGCGGGCAAGACAGGAGAGGTCTGCCGGGCCATGTGGGAATCTGACAGGCGCTGCAGGAGCTGCGGAGAGCTTCACAGCGCTGTGCTCAACCCACTGCATCACTGGGGAGGCCCTGTATTCTTAAATCTTAAAAGAGGAATTTATTGGTTGATGTTTCTTCTCTTAATTGCTTTCCATTTTCTTCCTCTTCTATAAATACCACTGACCTTCTGTGCTATTGACTCAAATGCTCATGTTCACCACAATTCTAGCTCTTAATTTTAAAACTGAATTGCTTTGGACCAGATAATTTCACACTTACATTTGTGCCATTAAAATTTCATGGATCGGGCCTCGCCAGTGGCGCAGCGGTTGAGCGCTGGGTTGCGAAGCTGCCCGCAGCCTCTGCGGCGCTGGTTCAATCCCCGGCTGCTCCCCAGCCACCGGAGGAGGGTCCCACATGGCGCGCAGACCTCTCCTGCCGCCCACTGCTCCCCTCAGCAGTGTACTTCGGTCCTTCTGCCTGCTCTGCTCCCTGCTCTGGCTCTGGTGAATTCTCTCACCCTCCCGCGCTTCTGACTGTACCCAATGCTTGTATAAATAAATAAATAAATAAATAAATAAATAAATAAATAAATAAATAAATAAAATATTAAAAAAAAAATTAAAATTTCATGGATCATTTTATCTGGCCGATCATCATTCCTGAAATCAGTCCCCAATTTGGGTAAAACACTGACTCAATTTTACCCAGGTTACCTAAGTGAATGTTTCTAAAATATACTGTTCTTACCATCATATGAAAAACTGGGGTTAAGGAATATTACTATATTGGGCAAAGACTTTAATCAGTCTTTCCTTAAGCCTGAAAAAGAGGAATAGTTGTAATAGATGGTCATGAGAGTTTTGTTATTGAATAATTCTGAAAGAATTGATGGTAACAGTAGTCTGAAGACAACAGTGATTATAACCCTAGTCTGTTTCAAAGATTCTGTTGAAAGCTTGTTCCTAGCTCTCCCCTCACAAGAGAAATTGATTTCCAGCTATTTGGAAGATTAGAGCTCAAACGATAGTATTGGTTTTTTAAACAGTAGGAAACTAACTAATGCTTATCTTAATAAGCCAGCGATGGCTACATGAAGCGGGTAGTAGAGCAACTGGAAGTGTTTTACTTCACAGCCCTGAGATGAGTATATAAAAGTATAGGCTCTGATTTGTGTCCTCCAAAAAGTATTCCTTCCTGTAATATTTTCCCTGCACACCTTTTCTACTAATATTCTTCTCCATTCTACATAAAGCTTAATGCCCTTGAGAGATTCACTTCCTCTTTCACCATCATCCTTTGTCTTTTCACGGCTTTTTGTGTTCATTTCACTTTTCATTTGAAGTTCTGGTGTGAAGCACAGTGGTAGTAGTCATGTCCATTGCTGCTTTTTTCATCCTGTCCTACACTGAATGCCAGTTTTTCTTTAGGTTCTGTGCCTTTTTCCAGGTAAGCAATAATTTGTCCAAGGTCTTCCTGACCTCATATGTTAGACCCTTGGATAATTCCTTTCCACAGCAAATATGTGAAGAGTCACGAATTGCTGTTGTTTTCTTTTCTAGAAGACACTTGGAAAGCTGAAGACTTTCTAGTGAAATTCAAGGGACACCATGATAAGTATTCCAGACCAGTTGTATGCATCAACCACAAAAAACTGATTAAGGAGAACAATAATGTGTATGAAAAGGCATTTACTTTAGGGAAAAATCCTATCAACTCAAAAAATCTCCCTCCTGAATATGACACTCATGGAAAGATTTTTAAAAATGTTTCAGAATTGATCATCAACAATCTGAGTCCTGCAAGGAAGAGACTCGGTGAGTATAATGGATTTACTAAGCCAGAGACAGCGCACCCTGGACTCAAATCCCGTAATCAACACAGCAGGACTTTCAGTCAGAATGAGTTGCTTATACAGTATCACAAGATGGAGACTGCAACACAATCATTTGGCTATAATGACTGTGAGAAAGCCTTCCTTAAAAAAGGAGACTTAATTACACATACGAGAACTTACAGAAGGGAGAACCCACCTGAATATAACAGAAGGAGAAGAGCAGCCAATATTGAAAAGAAACATACATGCTTGGAATGTGGGAAATCCTTCTGCAGAAAGTCAGTGTTGATTCTGCATCAGGGAATTCACACAGAGGAAAAACCCTATCAGTGTCATCAATGTGGAAATGCATTTCGAAGGAAGTCATACCTCATTGATCATCAAAGAACTCACACAGGAGAGAAACCCTTTGTTTGTAATGAATGTGGGAAGTCCTTCCGCCTAAAAACAGCCCTCACGGATCATCAGAGAACACATACAGGGGAGAAATCCTACGAGTGTCCACAGTGTAGGAATGCCTTCAGACTGAAGTCACACCTTATTCGTCATCAAAGAACACACACAGGAGAGAAACCGTATGAGTGTAATGACTGTGGGAAGTCCTTCCGCCAAAAGACCACACTCTCTCTCCATCAGAGAATCCATACAGGAGAGAAACCCTATGTTTGTAAAGAATGTGGGAAGTCCTTTCACCAGAAGGCAAACCTTACTGTACATCAAAGAACTCATACGGGGGAAAAGCCCTATATTTGTAATGAATGTGGCAAGTCCTTCTCCCAGAAGACAACGCTGGCTCTACACGAGAAAACTCATAATGAGGAGAAACCCTATATTTGTAATGAATGTGGTAAGTCTTTCCGCCAGAAGACAACCCTTGTAGCACATCAAAGAACACATACTGGGGAAAAATCCTATGAATGTCCTCACTGTGGGAAGGCCTTTAGAATGAAGTCATACCTCATTGATCATCACAGAACTCACACAGGGGAGAAACCCTATGAATGTAACGAATGCGGCAAGTCCTTCAGTCAGAAGACAAACCTCAATTTGCATCAAAGAATTCATACAGGTGAGAAACCCTATATTTGTAATGAATGTGGGAAGTCCTTTCGCCAGAAGGCAACGCTCACTGTACATCAGAAAATACATACAGGGCAGAAATCCTACGAATGTCCTCAGTGTGGCAAAGCCTTTAGCAGGAAGTCATATCTCATTCACCATCAGAGGACCCACACAGGAGAGAAACCATATAAATGTAATGAATGTGGGAAGTGCTTTCGCCAGAAGACAAATCTCATTGTACATCAGAGAACTCACACAGGGGAGAAGCCCTACATTTGTAATGAATGTGGGAAGTCCTTTAGTTACAAGAGAAACCTCATTGTTCATCAGAGATCTCACAAGGGAGAAAATACGGAAATGCAATAAATGTAATTTCTTGAAGAAACTTCCCAAGTTATTGCAAACCCTTAGCTAAAAAAAAAGCATGCTTTAACATGTTGTTAATACAATACTTTAACCACAAATGTAACAACTATTAATTTAATGTACCATACCACATGACTGTACTTTTTACTAGCTTACAAAATGGGTATGATCATTGATATTGAACATTTTCCATCAGTGAAGCTAATTTTTTAAGTTTTCAAGTGCTTCTGCTAACTCAATTTGTTTTTAAAATTTTATAATACATGCATAGTCAAGATACAAAATGGCTATAAGTATCGGCCTCCATAAGTGAAAGAAACTATGAACTATATTTCTTACTGCACTCTGGAATAAAAAGTAGTTAGTTGTTATTTGCCCAAGGACTACCACTTCCCGGGCATATAACATCAAGAAGTAGGTTTTGCATGTTTTTAAGCTTAATATATATTTTCTCATGCATCATGAATTCTTTTATCTTTCACTCAGCATTTTAAGATTCATACATTATTGCATGTGGCAGTAGTGTATTCATTTTCTTTCTGTATACTATTCCATTTTAAGAATATACTGCTATTATCCTCTTGATGGATATTTGTATTTTTTATAGTTTTGTGTTAAAATAAAAATACTGCTATAAATATTTTTGTATATGTCTGTGTATGTGTATGTTTCTGTTGGTTCTGTGCTAAGACAAATTCAATCCAAGGGTATTTGTGGGTGTTTTTTTCCCAAATATCAGACACTGCTGAATTTCTCAGACCTTTTTCAACGAACTGAGATGATTCCCTTTGGTCAGTAACAGCTGTGTTTGTAATCGATGTTGAGGAAAGGTCTTCAATAGTGATTGAACTGGACAATGTGTCCTACAGGAAACCTTATTTTCTAATTTGGAGAAGGCTGTTAGTCATGGAAATATAATATATACAAAGAGCTTGAGCTTTAGCTATAGCTTAAATCTTACACAAAACTGGAGAGTTCATATTGGAGGGAATACTGTATTTGTCAGGATTATATGGGTACTTCTACCCAGAGCTTCCACCTTATTCAACATAAAAAAACTAGCAAACAGGACATTAAGAAGGAACAAAGGTGAGTAAAATTTGAGAGTTTAAGTCACAGTGGTCAGAAATATGAAAAAATACATAAGCTCTATTGCAAGACTATAAAATAGGACTTTTATACTTTGACTCATTATGGGAAATGTGGGTCTTTGAAAATCCCAGATAAAAAATCACTGGAGAGATTGTAGTGTTAGCTTTCTAACATGTCTATAAGTGTCTTTCTTTTCAAAATAAGCTCAGGGACCTTCCTGGTGGCCTAGGGGTTAAGTCTCAGCACTGTCACTGCTATGGCCTAAGTTGGCGTTCCAGCCAGAGAGCTGACCCACATGGCTCAGCAGACCTCTCCTGTGTCTCCTGCTGCTCCCCTTATTTCAGTAAGTCTGCCTGTTCTCTGGTGAATTCTCTCAACCACCATACCTCTTGCCTACACCCCAGTTCATCTATGCAAAAATAAATAAAAGTCTTCAAAATAAGCTGAAGGTCCTTGGGTAGGATTATTCATAACCACCATTTACTATATATATGAAGTCATTGTGTGCAATGTAATTCAATGGAAATTTTAATAAGCTGAGCTTTTTTTTTCCTATTAAGAACTGTAAACCACATATAAGTAAGCAGGAAAATGATTGGTAGTTTAAATACCCAGCATTAAAATGTTAAATGGCCTCCCTGGTGGCGCAAGGGGTTGGGATGCAGCTTATGGGGCTGTCTGCAGCCTCTGCGGCTGTCTGCAGCCTCTGCAGCATGAGTTCAATACCCCACCAGCCAGGGAGCTACCCACATGGCACAGCGGGCCTCTCCTGACTCGCCCGCTGCTCCCCTCAGCAGTGTACTTCGGTCAGTCTGCCTGTTCTGCTCCCCACTCTGTCTCTGGTGAGTCCTCTCACCCCGCCCCCCCCCCACACCTCTGGCCTGTACGCCAGTTCTTGTATGCATGAATAAAGTCTTAAAAAAAAAAAACAGACATGTGGGCCTTGGGGGCCCCTTGGTTTTCCCCCGGCTTTCAGAGTGCTTTTGGGGTCTCAGCTCAGCAGAACTGGTAGGACACATTCACCAATTTATCTCTCTCCCTTTCTCCCTGGGTTATTCCTTTCTTCAATCCCTTTTTTGTAAGTAAACCCTTTATTAATCTTTTTGTGTGTGCCTGCGGTTGATTAAGTCCCTTTTAAGGGTACGGGTGAGGACCCACAGTCAGGCCAACCCATTTCACATTGGGGTTGCCCTGTAATAGACTAACATCACTGGTTGCGTCACTATCTTTAGCCAAGTTTAGGACCTTGATGCATAAAATTTGTTGGTCAGGAGGAGTCAGAGATTTACATAGTTGATATTGAGGGAATGAGGTCTCTATGTTGGCATCAGACCGGGGATATACTAATCCCTAAGAGGTCTCATTGTCTAATACTGGCTGAAGTTTTCAACTGCTCTTTTCATAATGGTTTGACCTGTATTTAGTTACAGGGGCATGAAGTTTAGAGGCTTAAAGGTGGGGCATGCAGCAAATCTATGTGGTGTAATTTTAAACATTTAGGTGGCCAGCAAGATGGAAATGGAAATATGGTGCCATCTAGCGGTTGGCTACAGCAGTAGCGCTGAAGAGCTCAAATCATATGTGTGACAATGGAGCCAAAATAAAGTTCACTGGGTGTCACCTTGCCAGGTGGGGTCTGCAGGTACAGGCCCAGGTTAATATCCAAAGTAGGCACAAACAGAATATGAAAAACTAGAAGGTTGGGGGCCTCTCTGGTGGCACAAGGGGTTAACGTCTCAGCACTATCAAGCTATCGCCAGCATGAGTTCGATCCCTGACCATGGAGGTGACCCACATGGCACAGCAGACCTCTCCTGTGTCACCCACTGTTCCCCTCAGCAGTGTATTTCAGTGGATACACCTGTTCTGCTCCCCACTCTGTGTCTGATGAATCCTCTCACCCTCCCCCCATCCCGCATCTCTGGCCTGCACCCCAGCTCTTGTACACATAAATAAATTAAAAAAAAACCTCTAAACTCATCTTCCAATTTGCTATGTTAGCTACTATTGCTTTCCCCTAACACACACACACACACACACACTCAGGAACTACAAATTCCAGCCTTTTGCTTAGTTCTTGGGGACCCAAGAATAGCAGGATGGATTCAGGGTAGATGTGCTCTAGCGCAGAGAGGGGACCACAAACCCTGCAGGGGGAATTCATTCAGGGCATGCACCTGATCTCACAATGTTAATCTGGCCTCAGATGACTATCATAACAGGGTCCCGTAGTTTCTCCTTTGCAACTGCAGCCAAGAGTTTCCACAAACAGATGTAGCTGAGACTACAGCCTAAGTCTAAGATGGAGTCCTATTAGCACCTAAAAAGACTTCCAGGCTTCTAGTACACATCAAGATATAAAATCTCTTGGCTTCTCTGTGGCTCTATTTTAACCACCAATTCTACGAAGGAGCTGTCTATTCTAAAGACTAGGAGGCTTTGAATACCTGGCCACATGAACAAAATAGGAATCATGACGAGAGACAGACGCAGTTCATGATGGGTAAGTAGCATACATGAGAAATAAACTTTTGACATTAAGATACTAACATTTGGGAGCTGATAAACAGCATGGCTTAGCCTAAACCCACACGGACACAGTGATAAACAATATTAGGTTCCCTGTCTACTCTTCACCCTCCCTCCCACCCTTGAAATATCTTGGAGATATACTTTAGATTTTGCTGTAGATGGCGGACACACATAAATAAAATGGTATGCAAGTCAAAACCACAATGAGATATCACACCTGTATGAATATTATCAAAAAGGCAAGAAACAAAGTATGCTGGCGAGGACGCAGAGAAAAGGGATTCCGTATACACTGCTGGTGGGAACGTAAACCGCTGCGGACACAGAAAGCAGCATGGAGATTCCTCAAAAAATTAAAAGTTGAGCTGCCATGTGACCCAACAATTCCACTGCTGGGTATTTATCCAAAGCAAACATAAAACAATCACACACAGGAAAGACACAATCTATCTACCATACCCATCTCTCTATCACACACACACACACACACACACACACACGATCTCCACCTGTCAGTTCCCTTTTATGAAAAGACAGGACGCGACTCGCCACCCCAGGCTTTCCACAGTGGCTGCTCCCGCGTGCCCGGGACCCCGGGGCGCCCGAGCCGCCGTCGCGCGGGGCCCGCTGGGAGATGTAGTCCCGCTGAGACGACGGGCCCCGCGCCCTCCGCCGGGTGTGCGCTCACCCGCCGCTTCTTCGCGCCCAAACCAGCCGCGGAGGCCCCGCACCCAGCGGCGCTCAGAAGGAGCCGGTGGACCGGCTGACATCGCAGGGCATCCTTGTCCCCGCGGCAGACCAGGGGCTGTCCGGCCTGCGGCGGAAGCGGCGGGAGCGCGGCCTGCGGGAGACGCGGGCGGGGGAGGGAGGCGGCCGGGCCGCTCTGCTGCGCCCCGCGGGTTCTCAGCCCGGTCCTGAGTCTGGGCCTCCACCCGCTCCAGTGCCGTGGTGAGGCTGAAGTGGGACCTGGACCTGATCATGTCGTCCCGAACACGTTAGAGGAGGCAGGAATCACGATCTGGGGAGGGGCGTGGGGGGTGGGATGTGTGTGTGTGTGTGTGTGTGTGTCCCTCTCGGTGTGTGCATATTACGATGCTGGCGTGAGTGTATGTATTCATCGTACAAGGTACTCTGGACTTTATTTTTAAAAATCATGAACTGTATTTCTAGAAAATCACCTTATAGTGTCTGAAATTTTCCTCCAGCTTTCGTCAATTTTTTCTGCAAGTTATTTAGCTGGAGTTTGAAGTCCTGATTTTATGTGCCTTTCCTTTTTTTCCCTCTGTTTCTACCTGTATCGATTTCTTTAGATTTTTTATCTTTCACATTACTGGGCTTACATTTACACACTACTAGGTTTTTCCTAATTTGATTAATAGCTGTTCACCTTTTATTACCTCCCCGCTCCCACCCCACCCACGGTCAAATTCCTACTCATTCAATAACTAAATCGTGACACGGCCACTCAAACGGTGCTCACTCATCCTCAAAGATCCACAAAGATCCACCGTCACACTGACACGACACACCCTAGGGACACAAGAATGACGATCACCCTCCGCATCGCCAACATGGCCACAGGCGGCGACAATCCCTTCCACCCCGCCGTCCCATCACTGCCACCACCAGACCTCACAGAAGAAAGGACAAATCTTCCACATACGCAGCTGAGCGCGTGCACTCAGGCCCCGAAACCCCTTGTTACCCCTCGTAACACGTTGTTACACTCGGCCACACATACCATCCGGCGTGTCAGTGGGCACCGTGTAACCCCACCCGCGCCGTGCGCACACGCCCACTTCGGCGGTGCCCCCCCTCCCCCACAGCAACCTGCGATCCCCGCTCTCCAGCCTCCCTCTCCCTCCGCCAGCCACCAGCCACCAGCCACCAGCCGGGCAGTTTAACTCTGCCTGACCCTCCAAACCCAAACTGCGTGCGCAGAGGCCCCGCCGCCGAGCGCCCCGAGAGGGAGGCTCTGGGTCGAGTGCGCTGCCGCTGCGCCGTGCACCGCACCGAGGGTGCTCGGGGATCCAGGTTAGGCACTCGAGGCGCCCTGAAACTCTGGCTTCCGGAAATCCCGAGTTCACTCACCTGGGGCTGCAGAGATTTCGCTAAAGCACGAATTTGGGAAGGCGGGGGGAGGGTCCTGGAAAATGTAGCCCTAGGGATGCGGGGGCCGCCCTATGTACACGACCTCACAGTCCTGGCCCCTGCTCCTTCCTGAGGAGTTGCCACGTTGCAGTGACCGTGCCCCTCCGCCGAGCCAGCCACACCCGCTATGAGGGCACCTGGTCCAAGGCCCCGACCCAGGAACAGAGCCTGTTTCGTAGGCTGGGACCCACTCATGCCCTCTGAGAAGTATGGGCTTCCCAGGGAAGAGGGGGGCGGGGAAACGTGCAGCTCTGAGGCGAGACTGGTCGAGGAGTGTAGAGGGAGGCGGTAGCCAGAGGCTGCAGGGAATAAGGTAGCCTCTAGACAGACCCGCGTCTCTTTGTAATATCCACATAGTACTCCTCAGGGAACAGTGAGGGAGGCTCCATATCTGACACTGGGGTCGCAAATTGAAAGAAAAAAAAAAAAAAAAACACCCAAAAAGTCAAATGATAAAGAAAAAAAATTTAGTTTCAAGTCTTCTAGCTACTAAATACAAAATACCCGATAGGGATTGGAGAACAGAAAAAGAAAATGGTGAAAATTATCAAATAGAAAATCGCCCCAAACCGATAGCCTTAATACTCAAAAAACACTCCAAAAGTCCAGAGTACCAAACAGTGAATGTAAAGGAGACTTTCTGAGGTATACAAGCCACAACTAAGGAATACCTAAAATATTTGATAGAAGGATTTGGCTGACAATCACAGTATTTTAGCTATTTTATTAGACTTGAGGTGAGAATTAAGATTGTGGTCCCTCAACATGGTTTGGGGACGATGTAAGGACCAATAGGTATTCAGGCAGTGTGGGACTAAACAAGGTTTCTCATAAATCCTGACTGATGAGCTAGGTGTTTGGTGGTCAAGGCCTTCTCTACAGGATGGAATACAATAGAAGTACTTACCCACTCAGATCAGCTGCCTCCTGAAGCAGACTAAAATGATCATTCTAATGTTTATTCATCTTCTTTCTGGGCCACTTGCTGGACAGTAGGTGGCAGTCCTTGGCCACCAACAACGGACACATTGAGGAGATTCCCTGGACTTAACCTTGGGGTCAAGGCCGATTTACTGTTGACTCCAAAGCTGCGCACAGGAGCAGAATTAAAAAAAAACCAAGCATGAGCGTTTAAGGGGGAGAAGGTAGTTTAAGAGCTAAGACAAATATTTATATGGGATTTTTTTCCACTGTGAAAATGAGGACAATTTTTAAATGGTGTGTGTGCAAACATCTGGTGCAATTACCTAGGTCCATTATATAATTTCCCTTTTTAAAAGGGGGATGGGGCCTTCATCTTAGGAAACACTAAGATTCACACAGAGTTTAAGTATATAGTTCATCATTTGTTCAGAAGGCCAATAAGATACACAGTAATGTTGTAGCATTTAACTAAGGAGTTTAACAGCTTTTAAAGTGGTTGTGTGAAAATAATCTCAAATACTACACACTGCTGTTCACCATTCTTCAAAAAAACATTTACTAATGTAACTATCAAGTTACATCACAAAAGACTGTGATGAGGCCCAAGGAAAACGATGATTAAGGATTGCTTTACGTAACAGATTTCTATCTGAGCCACTTTTCTCATACCTAGTCAGTCCATCCTCTCTACCTTTGTAAAAGAAACAACTCAATGAGAATTACTTCACAATGTATGTGTATATCAAGCCATCACATTGTACACTCTAAATATGTAATTTTATTTCTCAATTATAGCCAATAAAGCTTATTGGGAAAAAAAGAGAACAAAGGTGTGTGTCGATGCAGTGTGTAGAATGAAAGAGTTTCCAGGCTAAAAAGTGAGATCCTAACTCTTAACTGTGGATGTTCTAAGAACTTGAATGTTTCCTTGTAAATGAATGATCAAAAACGTAATTTTTAATGCATACGCTGTTTCCATGGAAATTCACAGGACAGGAAAATGGGTATTTTAAAACCAGTTTATCTGAAAAAGATGTATTATATAAAACCCATGGATGGGGCAGTTGAGTGTAGCGCTGTGAAGCTGCGTGCAGCCTCAGCAGTGCCAGTTTGATCCTGGCAGGCCAGTGACGGTCCCACATGGTGAAGAAGCAGACCTCTCCTGTCTTGCCCACTGCTCCCCTCAGCAGTGTATTTCAGTCAGTCTGCCTGTTCTGTTCCCCGCTCTGTCTCTGGTGAATCCTCTCACCCTCCTGCGCATCTGGACCCGGTTCTTGTATAAATAAATAAATCAATCTTAAAAAAAAAAAAAATTCCATGGCTGCACTCTTACTTAACTAAAAGTTCCTAAAAATTTCTAAGTTCAAGTGATAGATGCGGTGCAAACTGTTAGCAGTGTAAAGACAAACGATCAAGTGTACACTATAATGTAAAAATAAATTACAACAGATTTGGGTTATGCTATTATTTTTAATTTTAATAAAATAGATAATTTCATATTACATAGAGAGCAAGTCCATCCACTCATTACTGATAAAATTTTAGAAATATTTTCTATAAAAAGTTTAGTATGTGATTGGGAATGAATCCATTAGAACACGATTTCTACAGGTAGTGTTCCCATCCTCACCCCCATCCTTAATAATTTTGAGAAAATTTAAAAATACAGAAAAGTACAAAAAATAAGACAAGATATCCATATACCACAATTCAGAATTATCTAGGTATTTTGATATATTTACTTGCAGTTTTTTAAAAGAGAAATGGATGTTTATATATAAAACTCAAGTCCCCTTTAACCAATCCCCACCCCCTCCCCACACGCATCCCCTTCCCTTCACCACTCTTCACAGGCAACCACTACCAAGAGTTTGGTCTGTATCCTTCCAATCCATTTCAAAAAACATTAAAAAAAAAAAAACAAAACATACATATATATCCATTATCAATATATAGTACTGAATCTTAAAGAGGGAAGTTTTAATTCAAATTTACAAAAATGTCATCGACGTCATTCCACATCTTCCTTTCTCACCCTCACCGTATCTGACATCTTCCTCTGCATTCCATGTAGATCTCCTGTGATGCATGTTACAGATATACAGTATCGTAAGTATTTTCCATTTTTGATCCAGACAGGCATTTAAGTTGTTTGTAACTTAACGGCTACTACAAATCATGCCACAGTCAACAGCCTGGTACGTATTTCCCAAGCATACACACTCAGTAGAACTGCTAGATATCTTTGAATTTATCACAAGGAATGTTTTCCTCTTCCCAAAGTCATAACCATTTTAGTATATAGTATTTTCCTATTTGTTTTAATTATCGTAGATCTCAGCTTTGCATGGAGTTTATGGTCTATTTATTTTCCTTGGAGAAAAAAGTACCTCCAGATCATTTGTTCCATAATCACCTTACCACCTGATGTCATTTCTATCATATTCTAAATTCTAATAAAAGCATATTTCTAGAATCTGTTCTGCTAAAATCGTTATCATAAAGGTCTCTTCCTTCCCAGTACTTGTAACTTAATTTTCTTATGACGTTGGTGAACATCTACACGTCTGTGCAGATGGCAGTGGTAACAAGCATAGTTTCCATTCCCAATTTTAGTGGAAATGTGCCTGGTTTCAGCATTAACTTTGCTAAAGGGTTTCTGTGAGCACAGGCTTTAAGTCATTATAATTGTCTTTCTCTGCAGGATGAATTTTCTGGTGTCCTGTAAGTTTTTAAGCTTTTGTTCCACTCATTTGTGATGTCTGCCTTCACAACAATTATTTCTGCTGTATGACGAGGTGCATAATGATGAATGCTTTCCAATTTTCAAGATATTCACCGGGTTTTTAATGTGTATGGATTTTCTGGTGTCGAATGTGATGTGACTTCTGGCTAAAAGCTTTCCCACACTCACTGCACTGATAAGGCTTCTTACCTGTGTGTATTCTCAAATGCAGAGCAAGCGTCGAAAACTGCGAGAAGGCTTTCCCACATTCGTTACAACCATAGGGCTTCTCACCTGTATGGCTTCTCACATGCACTGTAAGAGATGAACTTTGAGAGAAGGCCTTTCCACAAACATTGCATTCGTAAGGCTTATCACCTGAATGAATCCTCACATGTACAATAAGTGACGTTCGTTGAGAGAAGGCTTTTCCACATTCGTTACATTCATAGGGTTTCTCTCCAGTGTGAATGTTCTGATGTTTTATGAGGTACTTCTTCTGGCCAAAAGCGGTTCCACACTCACTGCATTTAAAGGGTTTCTCGCCAATATGAATTTTCTCATGCTCAGTAAGATTTGATTTGCCACTGAAGGTTTTTCCACATTCCTTACACACAAAGGGCTTCTCTCCGGTGTGAGTTCTCTGGTGTCTGATGAGGTTTGACTTTTGAATGAAAGCTTTCCCACAATCCTTACACTCAAAAGGTTTCTCTCCAGTGTGAATTTTCTGATGGGTAAGGAGATTTTCCTTCTGGCTGAAGGATTTTCCACACTCGTTACATTCAAAAAGCTTCTCTCCAGTATGGGTGTTCTGATGTTTAATGACATACTGCTTTTGGCTGAAGGCTTTTCCACATTCATTGCATTCAAAAGGTTTCTCTCTATTATGAAAATGCTCATGTTCAGTGAGATTTGACTTGTGACTGAAAATTTTCCCACATACCTTACAGGCAAAGGGGATGTCCCCTCTACTATTTCTCTGCTGACTGAGGTGTGACATCTGAATGGAAGTTCTCCCACATTCACAAGATCTCTCTCCAGGATGAATTTTTTGATGAATGAAGATTTACTTTTGGCTGGAGGTATTTCCACATTTCTTACATTTGTGGGACGTCTCTGTGTATGACCTTTTAAATGTAGAGATAAGGTTCAAAAGAAAACTGTCATACTCAGTACATTCAAAATTTTTCTCCAAGTATATATTTTCTAATACTTAGAAATTTGGTTATATTTACTGGTTTCTCTCCAGTATAAATTTTACTCCACTTATGAGATTTGTAATCTGGTTAGCACAACGTTTCTCTCCAATCTAATGTCTATGTTTAATGAGCTGTATGAGTTAAAATTTTCCTACATTCAGGAAATTATCATTGGGTTTCTCTCCAGTACTATAACGCTTGGGTATGTGCAGATTTTTCTAACTGAGGGCATTTCCACACTGATTTATACCTAAAGGGCATTATAGAATAAAAAGATGAACACAAAAGCAAGAAGGTCTACCTAGGATGCACAAGAAAGGGAAATGATTAACAACTGCTTCCACCCAAAACTCCATTAATAAAAGTTGAAAGTAACAAAAAAGAAAGTGACACAAACCTCAAGAAAACAAATATGATAGGGGACATCGATACACAGGTACTGATAGATTTTTCAGTAAAGACTAGGAAGATTTTCAATGGACAACAGAGCCAAGGAACTTCAAGTAACAAAGATATTTCATTAAAGGATACCAATGTAGGGGCCTCCCTGGTGGTGCAAGGGGTTAGGCACCGCACTATGAGGCAATCCACAGCCTCTGTAGCATGAGTTTGATCCCCAGCCGGCCAGGGAACAACCCACATATAGCACAGCAGACCCCTCCTGTCTCGCCTTCTGCTCCCCTCAGCAGGGTATTTCAGTCAGTCTGCCTGTTTTATTCCCCACTGTCTCTGGTGAATCCTCTCACCATCTGCATCTCTGGCCTGTACCCCAGCTCTTGTATGCATAAATAATTAAATCTTAAAAAAAATCTAAAAAATAAAGGATACCTACCAATGTCAAGCAAATCAATCTGTGCCACAAGCACTTAATGACTGTGTAAAGAAGGGTAGCTAATGACCCTGTCATTTGTACTCATTTTTCTGGCCATCACAAAGGACCTAGCCACACCTGAGCTGACAAAGATTAAGACAGCATAATCAGGGCCTCCCCAGTGGCGCAGCGGTTGAGCGCTGGGTTGCGAAGCTGCCCGAAGCCTCTGCAGCGCCAGTTCGATCCCCGGCTACGGGAGGAGGGTCCCACATGGCAGGCAGACCTCTCCTGCCGCCCGCTACTCTCCTCAGCAGTGTACTTCGGTCCTTCTGCCTGTTCTGCTCCCCGCTCTGGCTCTGGTGAATTCTCTCACCCTCCCGCACTTCTGACTGTACCCAGTGCTTGTATAAATAAATAAAAATAAATCTTTAAAAAAAAAAAAAAGACAGCATAATCATTCCGCAGAAAGGAAAGACTCGGTCCATGAGGCAGTTTGCTGTTGGTCCCTGGGAGCCTAGGAGGCGACCAGAAGCACCCAGGTATAAACACATATACAATTACCTTCTTTAAGCACTACACTTAAATGACTGTTTATCCCCACTAACATCAAAAACAGATGAACACCGAAATAATTAAAAAATGAGGAAAAAAAGGTAAAGTACAACAAAATCCTAAAACCAAGCACAGTCAGTTATAGGAAGATATTTTATCAGTGAAATAACAGGATTTTGCGAGCAAGAACAGAAAGCAAAGGCTCCTGTAGAATTAAGAGAGGGAGGGAGAGGGGGAAGGTGAGGTAGAGCATATTGCTATTCACCAGTAACTGGGTTACTGCTTCACCCAGTTATACTGCTTCACCCCAATAAACTCAGGCTCGGATAGGTGCCTCGTTAGAGAAATGAAACATGAGCACAAGTGCCAAGTATCATTTCCCGGTAAGAGCTTTAAAAAGACAAACTCGAGATTAAACAAGGCAATATAAAAATTGAGTAAATGAAGTTCCAGAAAGCTATTAGAGGAAACATTCAAATAAAAAAAAAAAACACCTTAATTTTCCTTTAAATCATAAATTTCTTGATATGAAGGACCCACTTGGCACCCTGCATAACGAATAATAAAAAACATGTAAGTGGACATTTCACTGAGGTATTTCAAAAGAGAAAACAGGGCCTTCGTGGTGGCACAAGGGGTTAAGCAGAGCACTGTGAAGTTATCCACAGCCTCTGCAGTATAAGTTTGACCCCTGGCCAGGGAGCTGACCCACACAGTGCAACAGACCTTTCCTGTTGCGCCTGCTGCTCTCCTCAGCAGTGTATTTCAGTCAACTGCCTGTTCTGTTCTGCACTCTGTCTCTAGCGAATCCTCGCACCCCTGCACCTCTGGCCTGTACCCCAGTTCTTGTATGCACAAATAATCTTTAAAATAAAAATAGAGGGCCCTCCCGGTGGCGCAGTGGTTGAGCGCTGGGCTGTGAAGCTGCCCGCAGCCTCTGCAGCACCGGTTGGATCCCCGGCCGCCAGCAAGGGTCCCACATGGCACATAGACTTCTCCTGCCGCTGGCTGCTCCCCTCAGCAGTGTGTTTCGTCAATCTGTCTGTTCTGCTCCCTGCTCTGGCTCTGGTGAAATCTCTTACCCTCCTGCGCTTCTGACTATACCCAGTGCTTGTATGTATGTATAAATAAATAAATAAATAAATAAATAAATCCGGAAGGGAGGGAGGGAGGAAAGGAAACAGGGGAGGGGGAGGGGAAGGGGAGGGGGAGGGAAGGGAAGGAAAATAAGACGACCTAATTGCATTCAGAAAAAGGAACATCATTCAGAGGGACAGGAATCAGAATGGCATCGAGGGCCTCCCTGGTGGCGCAAGGGGCTAAGCACAGCACTATGAAGAAATCCACAGGCTCTGCAGCACGAGTTCAATCCCCAGCCAGCCAGGGAGAAACCCACATGGTGAGGCAGACCTCTCCTGTCTCACCCGCTGCTCCCTTGGCAATGTATTCCAGTCAGGCTGCCTGTTCTGTTCCCCACCCTGTCTCTGGTGCACCCTCCTCCACTCCCCACATCACTGGCCTGTGATCCAACATAAATAAATAAATCTTTAAAAAAAAAAAAAAAAGAATAGCATCGAATTTCCAACTTAAAGATGTAAAGTTAGAAGACAAAATTCAAATCCTAGCCTATCAGCAGGCACCTTTCAGACCTATAAGTGCTCCTTTGTTTCCCAGAAGCTACTAGAAGATGTGCTCCACCAAAATTAGTAGACAGATAAGGCAATAGAGCACCCCCGCCCCCCAAATAGGGGACACACGGGAAGTGGAGCCAGGAATGAAGAAAATTCCTGTAATAATGAAAGCTACAAGGTAGAGCTGACCACCAAATCACAGATAAGAGCACATCCAGTCCAGAATGGAGCAGTCAAAAATGCTAGCAGTAATATCCCCATGGGGGAAAAAAGAGATTTTCCAGTGCATTTGTCAACGTGGGAAATAATAGGACTTTTGACGATTGTGAAGAAAGTCCAAGGAAGTCCATGCTACACACAAAAAAACAAACAAAAATTGAAAAATACCAATTCCATGCAAGCAAACACACACACACACACACACACACACACACACACACACACTCCCCTTTATACACCATAGGATGATAGCTGTCTCAAGAAAAGATATGGGCAAACATTTAAGTTCTGAGTTAAACTAGTCACATTATTTTTACTTTTATTCAAGGGGAACTTTTTACATTAAGTACATTTACTTTACTTTAAATACATTAACAAATGGCTGCTTTACAAACTATAGTCATTCAGATGTAGGTGTTATTTGACTGGTAGTTTCTGAAAGCAGAACAAAGACAACAAAGTCATTCATGGGTAAAATATACAAAGTTTAAGACAGACCGATGGCTATTAGATACGATGGCTATTAGATACGAAAACAAAAAAATGCACTAAAGTTTCAAATTCCATATTGCACCTAATACTGAAAATACTGTCACGTACTGGATGTAACAAAGATATCCACAATTATCTGAAAAGGATATTAAAATACTTCCTTATCTAAATACATGTGTCTGAAGCCATGATTTTTTTCATATACTGTAACTAAAACACGTTACTATAGCAGAAATGAGAATCCAGCTGTCTTAAGATTTAAGAATACGCAAAAATAGTATCTTTTTTCTCACTAAACTTTTTATTTTAGGAAATTCTTTATATGAAATGCAATTTTAAGAAAAGCAATTTAATTTCACATGTAGCAGGATTCTGTACTATTTTTAAGCAAATGTTTTTTCAAAAGCTTTCAATATTACTTTTTAAATAAGGAAAAGATGACTAAAGTCCATATAAACCAAAGCTCTTTGGGATCCTCAAGTTCTATGGATATAAAGATGACGGCTAATGTGTAACAGGTTTCCTTTTGCGGTGATGATATGTTCTGGAATTTGATAGTGGTGATGGTTGAATAACTCTGAATAAACTAAAAACCACTCAAGTGAATGATCTAAAAAGGTGGATTTTATGTTACGTGAATTATATCTCAATAAAGCTATTATTCAGTAAAAAAGAAAAATAGAAGGAGTTCCTGTGTCTTTCTTTGGCTTAGCCTGAGCATTTTTTTCTCTTTCAAGCATTTTAGAATCTACATATCCTCCTGGAAGCAGCTCCAGGAACATGTTCCTAAAATGACTTCTCCAATCTTGTCTCTTACTTAGAAACATCTTCCTGTGAACTTTTAATCACAATTCAGTGCTTCATATCAAATATTTTTAGACCCAGATTTTTATAGCTAAGTCTTAACATCCTAACTATAACCTGAGGTGTTGGATTGCATTAATAGCTCTACGCTTTTCTTTGAATGGCTAACAGTGGATATTTTTAAAACACCGGGGCTGTATCAGCATGGCAAAAAGGACTGGACAGTTTAGTTTATAAAGACTAAAAAGGTAACAAACAAAACACAATTTAAGCCTTGACAGGATCCCAGCATTTAAAAAAAAAAAAAAAAAAAAGCTATGGGGCCTCCCCGGTGGCGCAGCAGTTGAGTGCTGGGTTGCGAAGCTACCCACGGCCTCTGCGGCGCAGGTTCGATCCCCAGCTGCTCCCCGGCCACCAGAGGAGGGTCCCACATGGCGCGCAGACCTCTCCTGCCGCCCTCTGCTCCCCTCAGCACTGTACTTCGGTCCTTCTGCCTGCTCTGCTCCCCACTCTGGCTCTGGTGAATTCTCTCACCCTCCCGCGCTTCTGACTGTACCCAGTGCATGTATAAACCAAAACAAACAAACAAATAATAAAAAATAAATAAATAAGACATGCCTCTAGAAAATTAAAAAAAAATAAATAAATAAAATAAAAAAAAGCTATGAAAGGATATTTTCAAGGTAACTGAAGAAACTAAATATGGACATTACATGGTATTAAGGTATTACTGCCAATTGGCTAAGGTGGATAATGGTATTTTTGGTTATGGTGAAGAATACCATTATTTTTAGAAGACACATAATTTGTAAAGAGTGAAGTGTCATGATGTTCCAGCACACACAGGATATGGATACACACAGTGAAACATTCATCACAGAATCTACATGGTGGATATATAAGATCATTGCTAGCTTCTTTCCCTTTTTTTAATGTTTAAAAATATTCTTAAGATAAAAATTTGAGAAAGCAGAATAATAACCCCTCCACAACAAATTATTTAACAATTAGTACCTCCTACGTCATCAAAACTGCAGACAGAAACTGCGCCCCACATGGCACGCAGACCTCTCCTGCCGCCCGCTGCTCCCCTCAGCAGTGTACTTCATCAGCCTGCTTGATCTGCTTCCTGTTCTGGCTCTGGTGAATTCTCTCACCCTCCCGTGCTTCTGACTGTACCCAGTGCTTGTATAAATAAATAAATAAATCTTAAAAATAAAAAAAGATCAAGATTCAAAAACTTTAGAGGAGGAGATGCGATGAAAATGACATTAGACAACTGTCCCATAAACAGGCAAAATTCTGGGAAAGACAAAAAGACAGAGGTACCAAAGTAATAAGTGATTTAATTACTTCTAACCTCAAAATGGATGAGTTCTGGGAATTTACCCATAAAGGGAAGGAAGAAAGGCAAAATGCAGTGATCCCTAGCAGTCACCTCCCATAAGAGGTAGACAGTAAAAATATAAATAAATAGAAAAGCAAATGGTGAGCAGACACCTAGGCAGAGAAAGCAATAGGTTTGGTGATCAAAGCACCAACCAAATAGAAGCAGCAGAGAATCCCTAGAGAGGTGATTTAAGCAGAACCTTTTGTCTAAAATGGTGCAGTAAAACAGCTGTCCATTTTGCCTGTCTGTGAAGAGAAACCAAAAATAAACACCCTGCTTTGTTAATAAGAGTTCAAAGTGGCAGTAATTATAATTAATATTTTATAAGAAAAGGACGGGAGTGGGCAGTGGCCACTGCTGCTTTAGGGGAAGCTTTCATATGCAATGCTCTCTAAAGACAAAAGACACAGCCTCAACCAGGTCCTTCTTTGCAACAAAAGCAGTCAGGAATGCAGGCTAGAGTTGGTGGACCCAAAGGCATTCCTGAAAGGCCCGAAAAGGAGGACAGAGCAAGACAAGCCAAGGTACCATGACCGAATAAAGCAGTAAATAGCAAAGAAAGCAAACCTTTTATGTCTCTGAATTCCTGATTTGTATATTCAACTGCCTGCCTCCTACCTGAATATGCACTTAGATGACCTAAGGGGTATCCGCCAACTCACAAAAGTAAACTTAATCTAGCTCCTCAAATTCCTGGAGCCTCCTATCTCAGTAAACGTAACTCATGGTCTTACAGTTACTCAAACCAAAACCTTGGGGTCACACGAATGATCCATTCCCCTTAACTAACACAGAACTTACCGGCCAGTCCTGTGAGCTATTCTTTTAAAACAGTAGGAGAATTTGATTACATGTCACCAGCAAACCTACCACCACTTTCTTACCTGGACTCCTACAATAGTGTCAGATTAATCCTCTAGCCTTGACCACCCCCCCCCCCCAGTATCTTATTTTCTATACAGAGGCCACCCATTCCTTTCAAAATGCAAGTCTTTTCGTATCTTTCCTCTACTCAAAACTCTTCAGTGGCATCTGAGGAGGTGTGAATGTATTCCCCTAAATCATATAGCGTTGTATAGGCGTGTTACCACAATTAAATAAAAATTAATATGCCATTATCTATAAGCAGTTACGCCATATCGATTTCAAAAACACATGCTATTTTATCACTCAAAATAAAAAAACCTTTAAAATTGGTTTACTTCTTTTGAGAGCAGCGGACCTATTTCTCTCCAATGTATACATGAACCTAACTCTGACCTACCATTTCTACCTAAGAGTACTTTATTCTACAGTTGTGACTGTTTATCTCTACAAAACAATGTGAACAAACTTATGCATTTAAGTCTTCAACAGCATAAGCCTGGGAATAACCTAATCCATGAAGAGAAACAGATTAAATATATTATGTGTTGATAAAGACTCCAAGGGAAAAGACAAAAGACTATATATAAAATAGAGTAAATAACGCCATTTATATGAAACTGAGGGCTGCTATGTTATTTATAGTTCACATTCTGACTGAGGGTCAGGCTGGTAGAGGAAACTTCACCGTATAACTTTATGTTCCAAATTTGTATTCATATATTACATTAAAAAACAAATACAGTCCATAGGGTCATACACACAGGTACATGGAGCAGAAAGGCAGCACTGATTTCTAAGGTAACTACTTCTGAAAGAGATACGTGAGGGCAAAAGGAGGGAGTCTGCTGATGCATAATAGGGAAAGTGGGTAAGAAGAAAACAGGAAGTATGATTATACATGTACAATATAATTCTACCAGATGTATCCACTGAAAAAAATGGGAGAAAGCGGCAAATAATAAAAAGGAACCAAACCATCAGATGACAGGTAAAGACTTAAGACCTACATACGACGATGCATGAGTAAAGGATTCTGTACACAACGAGGATATGAAACTGACGGTATAAGTGAAAAAGACAGCAATGACGCTGAGACAAAACAAAGTATGTTGACATCTAGAATAGACATAAGAGGGGAACCTAGTTCTCTAGGATCTGATGAAAAAGGCAGAATATTGAAATAGAAAAAATGATGACAGGAATGTCATTCAGACACCTAAAGAATCCACACCAACTGATACTCAAGACTAGAGCCTGTAAGAAAATGTCCTTAAAAGCATCTAAGAGCTATCGGTGCTGACCCCCGTGACCGGCCTAGCCGTTCCTCACTCACCTGGACAGATCTCCTTTCCACTTCTTTCTCCACCATCCAGAGTTGTCTTCTCACTTCAAGAGGATCACACCGAGCTTCGTCAGTTCATTACCTGTGATAGGGGAAATGATACAATACTAGAAGGTTAATGCTGAGGACAAAGTACCCTCCTAGAACTCAGGCTGGGCCCGGGGGCCTCCTGAAGGGCGAAGAAGGTACAATTCCCAGGGGTGCACAAGGAAGCGGCCCTGTGAAAAAGAACAAAGTTATGACATTCTGCCATATAAATCAAAGCACATACAACAATATGGGCAAAGGAACTGAGACTATTTGAATCTTGAATTTCAAAGTCTTCACACATCAGAAATGGGAGTAAAAGAGAAAAACTTAATTTCAGATTTTTACTTGTACACAAGAAACTTGAAGCTATGAAGTGCCACTGCAGCATGAATCTGATCCCCGGCCAGGGAGCTACCCACATGGTGCAGCAGATGGGTCTCTCCTGTCTCGCCTGCTGCTCCCTTCATCAGTGTATTTCACTGGATCCACCTGTTCCGCTCTCCACTCTGTCTCTGGTGAGTCCTCTCACCCCATCCCCCTCACCGCTGGCCTACACCCAGATCCTGTATGCATAAATAAATCTTATAAAAAAGTTGTTCATAACATGACCAACTGCGGTTGTTCCCCAGCACCACATCCCTGCATAGATAGGGTTCCCAGTGGATTTTAACTGTAGTACTCATTCCTAGTTTAATTGAAAACTCATCTATAGTACAACAGCAACATATGCTTATTAAAATGAAGTCAACTGAGTATAACATAGGGGATGTTATTCTGAATACTTAAGATTTTAAGAACTCAGTTTCCCTGGAATTCTAATATTTACTTTATTTGCATTAGACTTTGAATATTATCATATTAGACATGTCTTATAAATATATTAGTACAACTGCCAAAAACTAAAAGCAGACTTTGGCCTAAATAACAGGATAGCACTGATGTTAAATGTTCTGCTTTACATTACTGTGCTGTGGAATGTCTTTGTTCTCAGAAAACTGATGCTGAAGTATTTATAAAGGAACATGTCAGCAACTTAGCCTCAAATGTTTCAGATAAAAAAATTACACATCTGGGCCTCCCTGGTGGCGCAAGGGGTTAAGTCCCAGCACTATGAAGTTATTCAACAGCCACTGCAGCATGAGTTTGATCCCCGGCCAAGGTCACCTGCTGCTCCCCATTCTGTCTCTGGTGAATCCTCTCACCCCCTACCCCGCACCTCTGGCCTGCACCCCAGCTCTTACATGCATAAATAATCCTAAAAAAATTTTTTTAATTATACATTTAGAGAAAGACAGAAGAAAAAAGAAAGCAAAAACAAAAGTCAAATGATTGATGATGAGATTTCAGTATTCTTCTACAATGTTGAAATTGTAGAAAAAATAAAATCCTAAAACACCTTGGTTACTACTTACACACACTATCTACTGTGTTTTAAAAAAAAGCATAGTCATCACTTTATTTTTATTTATTTTTTACATAGAAGGGGTGCAGACCACCAGGGAACGCGCCCCCCCCCAAAAAAAGGCTTAGGCACCACTTTGTACGGTCTCATGGCAGAGGCAGAGAGGGAAGGCTCACAGTCTGATTTAAGCAGTAACATGCACAGATCCATGCAAGGATTGTAACAGGGTGGTCCCCAGGAAAGGGGGAGGTTCCAGGTTCCCTGCCCCACCCAAATGGAGGGTGGAGCTGAGCAGGGAGAGAAGAAGCTGCAGAGGAGACTGAGGAAGGGAGAAAGCAGGATGGAGAGCAAGAAGGAGACCTAAAGGAGGAGCATGGAGCCTAGAGACACGTTAAGAAACTGTGCTTGTCGTGGACTGGGTGACACAGATGTGGGTGAGAGACCCGAGGGGAGGTGACAATTATCTTGGCGGCTTTTATCTTGATTTTGATTTTGCTCTTTTCCTTCCAGGCTTGTCTGGTTGTTTCTGACCCTTTTCTGTGGGTCCCCACTAGAAGATGCTTTGGACTTGTGGCAGGCTTTGGGGCTTTGCTCTGGGCTGATCCCATTTGGATGGAGTTTTACCCACGAGGGGACGGGTAACTTTGGGTGCTTCATTTAGAAACTGGATTCATTGCCTTTCCTGTATTGTTTCCTAATTGTATTAAAGTTCCTAACCATTAAAGTCTCATATGTTTTGTGTTGATGCAGCGGATGGCAGAACCCATTCAGAACAGGCAGGTAGGTTTGCAGGGTTTGGGCTGCCCCTCCTCCTGCCCTGTAACAGGATGAGCTGGTTACATACAACCTTCAGGGGAAGGAGATCATGTTTGATGTGCTAGACACTGACAAAAACTTCAAGTTTCTCAAGAACGTACAGGCAGATATATCCAGGAAGCAACTGAATATAAGAAAATAAGGATCTTAGAACAGGTCTAGAATGGAAATGAGGATGTCAGGTGTCAGCATGTCACTGCTGCTAAAAGCGCATGTTGAATGTCATTGTGACTGTTCATAGAGAATCTGAGCAGTCTCTGAAGAAGATGGTCAAGGATGGAATCTTTGGAACATCAATAGTAAAGAATACAAGGAGAGTTTCACAGAAGAATAGTGGCTGTTTAGCTCTGAATCTTCCAAGCACTTAGAAAATCAGACAAAAACATCAAAACAATGAAGGGTAGGGCATGTGTGCCCTCAAACACACCAGCCAACCCACACACCACACTTTAGAAAAACCAGTGCAGGTAATACATGCTGACTCTAAATGATAAAAATGTGACCTAAACACCTGAAATAGTGTGGTAGCTGCAGTATAAAGACCAGGTAACGGTGAGAAATCCTTCGGGTAACAGAGCTAGGAAATAACTAGAAAAGATTAATTCTCAGGATGACAGACTCGCCCTGAGTGAGAACTAGTGCAACTGACTCTTAATGAACAATACAATTAAGGACCAAAAAAAAAAAAACAAAAAAAAACAAAACCTCCCTAACATCCCGCTACCTCTGCTTAAGCTGACTCAAATACACAACCTACCAGGAAGCTGCAAAGAAGCCTCCCTCAGGAAGAACTGGGAATGCTAAGGGGTTTCTACAGCTAATTCCTTTCAGAATGGTAGGCCTCACCCTAAGAGGGCAATGATGAAAGCAAAACCCAGATTAAGCAGAAAAGGACAGCAGGGGTAAGAGAAAATAAAAGGGTAAAAAAGTACTTAGGAGTGGGGCATTACCAGATTTCTAAAAGTGACCGCTTGATCCTGGAAGCCACGAGCTATGGGAAACAGAAAGGGGATACAAACAGGCCTCAACTTGATTAGGGTCATCGACCCCAAAGGAGTGGAAATCCTTTGCTTTAACAATAAAAAAGGCATGTGAGCTTTGAAGCATAAAATACCACTGTGCTTCCTCTTCCCTGGTATTTTTAACTAGGAAAATCTATCTCATTCAAACACAAGTAATACAAAATAACCTGTCTCCGTACTATAAGACAAACAGTGAACTTGAACACTTTTCTAACAAATAATCTCATCTGAAAAATACAAGGCAGATAAAAATGAAACAATAACAAAATAACTTTTCAGACTAAAACAAAGCAAAGCTATAAAAAGAACACAAAAGAGAAACAGAGGAACTGAGTAAAGAAACAGCCACCAAAGGAGGAAATGGAAAGAAAGTAAAATAGAATGGAAATCTTACGTGGCATTTTATTCGCTCCCTTTGATTTTTTTAAGAATTCAGTATGGAGCAGTGTACTTCGGTCCTTCTGCCTGCTCTGCTCCCCGCTCTGGCTCTGGTGAATTCTCTCACCCTCCCGTGCTTCTGACTGTACCCAGTGCATGTATAAACAAAACAAACAAACAAACAAACAAACAAACAAACAAAAAAATGCCTCTATTAAAAAAAAAAAAAAAAAGAATTCAGTATGGGGCCTCCCCCGTGGCGCAGCAGTTGAGTGCTGGGTTACGAAGCTGCCTGCAGCCTCTGTAGAGCCAGTTCGATTCCCGGCTGCTCCCCGGCCACCGGAGGAGAGTCCCACTTGGTGCACAGACCTTTCCTGCCACCCGCTGCTCCCCTCAGCAGTGTACTTCCGTCCTTCTGCCTGCTCTGCTCCCCGCTCTGGCTCTGGCGAATTCTCTCACCCTCCCGCGCTTCTGCCTGTACCCAGTGCTTGTATAAATAAATAAAAATAAATCTTAAAAAAAAAAAAAAAAAAGATTTCAGTATGGGGGCCTCCCTCATGCCCTGAGGTTAAAGACAATGCTGTTGGGCTGCCACCAGCCACTGTAGTATGTTCAATTTCCCTCCCAGCCAGGGAGCTACCCACATGGCGCAGCAGACCTCTCCTGTCTTGCCCTCTGCTCCCCTCAGCAGTGTATTTCAGTAGATCTGCCTGTTCTGCTCCCCACTCTGTCTCCAGTGAATCCTCTCACCCCCTCCCCGCACCTCTGGCCTACACCCCAGCTCTTGCATGCATGCATAAATAAATTTCTTTAAAAATTTCAGTATCAGAGTTTGGAGGGATTTTTGATTCCTTGATTAATTGTGACCTTTCCTGGTTGTTCCGGCTGGGGTACAGCAGCAGTCTTTACCTTAAACTTTTGTTTCTAACTCACACTCCCAGAGAGCAGAGCAGTAAGAGTAATTCATATATATGTAAAAAATCATTATCTACATATGAACACAAAGCCAGTAATACTCATCTAACACAAAACACCAGAGGCATTTCTATTAAATTGCAAGTAAAGAAAGGTCCCTCACTGCCTGGATTATTTAGTATAATGTAACAGTAACTCATTAAGTAAATCAAGGAATAAGTTTATAGAAAGAGGCTTCATATAGACCAACAACCACCATTCCATTCATAATAACAATATGAAAGATAAAGTGCTTAGAAATAAATAAGTTTAAACCTGTGTGATGAAAAATTTACATCCTCCAGAGGACCAAAAGGAAATCAGGACATATAAAATACATATGGCTGGGAGTATTTAATACCACGATGATCAAGTATATTAAAAAAAAAAGGAACGTTCTTTCTCCTAAGTTATTTTGCAATTCCAAATAAGTGTTTTTTCTAGAACAAGAACTGATTCTAAAGTTTACATAGAAAAACA